GCCAATCCATAAACCTCAAATATGAAACCAATCACAGTGTGCTTCCTCCGCCGAGAAAATACATGGCTATCACAACTGTCCTTGAAAGGATGTCTTGGTAGAAAGGCATGTACTGAGAAACGTTAGCTGGGTTAGACCACTAGTAAAGAGAAACCTGGTTTGAGCTGGGCAGTGGAACCTTCCATCCTGGGGATGGAAATCTGGAGCAACAACTGAAGAGAACAAAGATTGAGTTAGCCACAGGTTGTCAACCATGGTAAGCACCCTCTTCAATATAGCTTTGTTTAAAGTTCTGGTAATGAGCTCAGGCATCCACCTTATGTCTCCTCTAAACATAGGAAGTATAAGGAGAGTCTGTCCAAGGGTACTTGCTACTACACTGCACATGCTTTCTGAAGGCCACAGCTCAGAAACGGATACTTCAGCAGTAGATAAACAAGGAGCTGAACACTAGAGAAAAATCAAATGGACTTAATTTAAGGGGGAAATATGCACCTGCAGAGATGCCACTCTTGTGGCAGGTGAAAGGGACTGAGATGATGGAAGATCCATTCTAAAGCATGCGCAGAGGTGGAGCCTCTTTTCCCACTTGCAGCTCAGCTACAGAATGTTGTATAGATTACATTTCACAAACACAGAGCCTATACACATGAATCAGTGCGACCAAGAAAAGCCTAGCCTTCAACTTAAAACAAAATTCTGATTTTTGATAGGGAAAATACTGAAGGAACAGGAATGCTTTAACAATTTTTCCACTACAATTGTACAAGAAGTAGGTAACCTAAGGCACTAGTATTCCATGTGACACCCCCCATCCCCATCAGTAGCATGATTTCCTGGCATTTTGATGCAGAAAACACACCAAAACTGTAGTATAAGCCCTGACGTAGAATTCGTATCATTAAAAATTAAACAAATGCTTTTTAAGAGGGTAGAAGAATAGACTCTAGAATGCTGCATAGGTGTGGGTCATACCTATACCATATGGAGTATTCTCAGCTGACAGTAAGGGCTGTACCAGTCAGTTTTGGCATATTTAGGCCAACATGCAAGAAGTGCAGTCAAAATCAGGTTTTATCTTAGGTGTGCTCACTATCTTCTAAGCAAGCAAGGATCTCTAATCTGGAGATTAATTTGTATTTGTAATACTGTTGGCTGCCTACCAACTAAGAGATATATGCAGTGTACCAACATGCTCAGGATGCAATGTATGGATATGAGGAAGCAAGTTTATTGGACATTTGTTGATTTAGAGCGTATGATAAAATACATGATAAGGGCTTGAATTCTGAAACATTTTGCTTAATGGGGGAGTTTATGGTTGGTTGTTGAATGCAAGGAGAATGATGCAAGTGAAGCATGGAATGCTTAGCAAATGGTTCAGTTTTGTGCAAGGAATAATTGTTGAATGTATTTATGGATAAATGCATAAGGAATGTTTATGGTGAAGTTAGAGGTGTGACACCACCAGATGATGGTGTGCTGCTGGAAACCCAAATGATATGCAATAAAAGACAGATGATGAGAGATTGAGTACTATGAATTTGAAAATTAATGTATTGAAGACCAAGGTAGTTAGTTCTGAAACTATGTGCATAGTATGTAGATAAAACATTTTTAAGCTGGAATCTCCAGTTAACAGCATACTACTATGCGTTTTTATTCTAAACTACAGGTGAAACTCGAAAAATTAGAATATCGTACAAATGTTCATTTATGTCAGTAAGGCAACTCAA